GCAGTCCTGTTGGTTGGGATTGCATGCGGACCACCGAGTGATCTCTCTGATTCTGAGCGTGTTACGCATGTCACCAGATAGATTGTCACGGCGAGCGATGTTTGGCGAGGCAGGTGGCGGGTGCAAAGGGGCCAAGGGTGGTGAAAAAACCCTAACCAGGAGACTAGGTCACATAGGCCCCGTTAGGCTCCCTGGCTGGGGACCTCACCAGGAAACTGGGTCACATAGGTCTTGTTAGGCTCCCTGGCTGGGGACCTCGGGATGATGGTCCGAAGAAGATACAGAGTAGAAAAAGCCAAGGGTGGTCAAGTTAAGACCTGGCACGAGGGTATGAAAACCCTAAGCAGGTAAAGCCAAGGGTGGTCAAGCTAAGACCTGGCACGAGGGTATGAAAACCCTAACCAGGAGGCTGGGTCACATAGGTCCTGTTAGGCTCCCTGGCTGGGGACCTCGGGATGATCGTAACCGATGCTTAGAGACATCGTGATATTGCTGGGTGTCGCAACCAGTGGCGTTCGTGCATCTCAATTTCTTTGCAACCTTAGACCACTGAACTTCTCCGTTTTCTGTTCGACTCCACTTTCCTTTCTTCTCGTATTCTTCATCCAAATGGGCAGCCAAAAAGACAACAACCAAAACCGGCGCACAAATATGCGTGGTTATTGGTTGTACAAACTGAAACCATTCACAATATCTTGGCCTCCAATTCAATAAACTAGCCTTGGTTGAACACCCTGAGGTTTCTCTTAAAACGGTAACACAGAAGTAATATCATTATGGAGCGTATTTTCCTTAGTCAGTTGATGGATGAAGAACTGAATAGTTATTTTTACGCGAAGGGACTGCAAGCATATCGTTCATTCAGATGACCTTAATACATTCACCTCAACACCTGCGATTTGCGAGTGAATATAATATAACCGCTTTATTCGACTTCATTTTACAGTGCTAATATCACCGTAAGATTATTCATCACGGTTTCAAAATTGACTGTAACCCCCCACCCTCCCCGAACATCATATGTTACAACTTTTCTTTTTTATCATTTGATAAATAACTTGAAGCAGTTTGATTTCAACCTACTGCCCACCCGCGATTCCAACGTAATTCGTAGATGTGACCGTCAAAACCTTATCGAAATATGATATTCTGAATTAAATGAGCCCTTCTTTTAGCATCCAGCTAGGAGTTGACGGATCCTCCTCTTGGACCTAGAGTTCTCGGCTCGAGTCCCAACAGGAATACTAAAGGTACACATTGTTGACGAACCCCAAACAGAACAAAGCAGCGTTTCACTAGTTTCTTTCAACCACAGAAATTTCATCAATTTAGGGAGAAGACAAATGTCGCGATTTGTTAACGTTTCGTTCAATCTTCTATATTTAGTAATCTTTTTATGCTTGTACACGATCGTTCACCATGTGCTACATGTCTGTCTGCGAAGAGTAAACGAAATGGTAACATTTCGCGACATTTGTCTCCTTTCTGTATTGATAAACTGGGTAAGGGTAAGCCCAAACCATTTAGTCGAATATGCTTGCGGTTTAGTATATGTGAGTTCGTCAATATTAGGGTCACATGGACGAAACCAAATCCATTTGTAGTTATTCGCATTGACAAAACTTTCACAAGCTCTGTAAACAGCACCTCAGTCAAAAAGGTGGATTCAATGACCGCGTCTGGGGAAATCACAGAGTAGAGACGAGTGAAATTGTTCGAAGGGGGAAAGTTATGATTAACACAACTTCACAGTCTGCGACTGGGGTTCGTGTTGACAAAGGCATATGCCAGATAAGAAACGGGAGAGTCCAGCATCATCTTATATGTGCAAGCAGTAATCGGAATTCGGAAGGACCATCGATGCGAGAACGCTGGAATGCTCATAGACCAGTGGATACGAAGGGCGACCAACAAGGGTTTTAAAAGTGAACATTCGCCACGTAACACCCCAGTGGTGCATAAAAGGTGCCATGTTAACACGGCCAACCCGTTCATGTAATCACGTGCACCGGTTGTTTGGCTACGAATCGTGTAGCTCGACTCCAAAACCAGCCGTTCGCGTCCCGCCCCGGTGCAAACATTACGCACTTATGATGAGCCCAACACGAATGAAACAATTATCAAATGGTCTCTGGCAAATACCACATCAATACAAACGCTTCACTAAAGTTGGTACCTTGGGACGTGTTCGAGAAGTTTCACTCGTCGACCATACTCATTTGTAGACACAATATCCTCATTTGTATCCCAAGAATCACTTCGAGGTAAGAATCCTTACAATGGTTCTATGTTACTCGTTTTGTGGGTTAGATGGGTCCAACGCAGCAATTTACTGGGCATTAGGGCTCATTTTAGATTCTTTTCATGATAAGAAGGCAAGTCGAGACACTATGCACCCAGAAGTAATACATGACTGGACAAAATTTCCCGGGAGCAAACGACTGTTTTCGAGGACCTTCCCGTTCTTCAGTGACCCTGTACTCTTCTCTCTAGTAATTATTGTGCTTTTACTCCTTGTGAATTACGCTATAGTAATCTCAGTTACACCGCAGGGAATTATTTCGAGATAAGATGGCTTTGAAGAACCGTCACTGTGATTGTGACAGTTTTTCGTAGGCCAGATGCGACCGACCTCGACATATGGATCTATCCATTTTGACGATGGTCACAAGCTTCAAAAAGTGAATTGCTTAACTATCAGTCATTGCTCCTTGAAGGAACATCCCTGCATGGGGCGGAATGTGAACTGAAGCCTAAATGACTGAAAGTGCTGGTTGATACACATTAGTCGACACATGTATCATGCATCGGTTCACAGTGCCTGCGATTGACATCCAGCCAAAACTAAACTCAGTATCACACTTAATTTAGTCTCGCATATTCCGAGTACTTCAGTAACATGCTTTCGGTTTCCGAAACCGAACAGTAGTTCTTCATGATTATTGATTTACCTTTCCTCTTCCATGTAAGTATGCAGCCTAGTTGGCCACAGTGGAGCAAACCCAGAAAATTCGGCTTCGAATGCGGAGCAAGTGGGATCAGTTGCTTCAGCTACAGAATTGGTACTATACCGTGTTGATGGTGTTCACCGACCTGTTACCGTATCCATATTTCTACGTATCATTTATCACCTAACACAACCTTAGCCAACCGCTTGAAGAACGCGAATTGAGTGAGAATTTTCAAGAAATACAAATATATCTTATTTTTGTACAGGTCGGAAGGAACAAGGATTAGTGTTTTTCTCCATCTTCATAGGCCAGGTGGTGGTGGTGTCCCGGATGATCGGGTATCGGTCAAAATTGCGTTGGTTGTGCTCGAAGACGTCATTGTTTCAGGTCTAGTTCGATTCTCCCACAACCTCAAGGACTGCTCGATTGTACTGGCTGCTGCAGTCGTATTACGATAGACAGCACCTTCGACTTCCTGCTGGGGAATTACACAAGTCGCATAAGCGTACGCCGCATAGTCATCTTTATTTGCCCGAATCTCTGCCAATTCAGCAGCCACACGTAGTGCTGCCTGCCGTGCAGCCTCCCGTTCTGTTGCTGCTCGAGTCATGGCAGCCTGTGCAGCGGCCGTCTGCGCGACATGTGCAGCTGCCAACTCCGCTTGAATCAACGCGTTGGCCGGAAAATATCGATGCTCAGATTCTGACCAGTAATAATACATCCGTTCATTAGCATCGTAAAAGTATCCCCTTGCTGAATCGTAGTACAGAGATGTCTCTGGATCGTAATATAATCCTGATGTGGCCTCGTACTGCAATCGAGCAGATTCTGGGGCGGTGGTGAAGCGACGGTTTTGACGGATTCGGTCCATTACCAGTGCCTCTGTTGTTTGGTGTAATCGAGCATAACAAGTCAATGCAGCCTGATAAACTGAACCGGATGGGGTTAAATTAGCGAGATGTGTGCTTCGATGAATGAAAAACACTTTCAATTCACCGGATTTTAAAGCTTCCTCATCACGTTTAGCCTCACGTTGTTGATCATTAATAGAGTGTTCAGTTGCACATTCTTCTTCAACATCCTCTGTGTCCTCGTCTTCTAGTCCTGCATGAGGACGCTTTATCCCAGTGGAAGGTGTATCAGACTTGGAATCAGATGATCCAGTATCTTTCTGTTTGACTGAATCAGGATGCCACAATACTGGTCGACAAATCACAGCTTCGCCACCTATGCGACACCACGAAAGCCAGTTCAAATCGGGCGGAGGTCGAGGTACGGGCCAGCCATGGGCTGCACGCTGACTTCCCAGGAAGTCTAGTGTTTCTGCGGACCAAATCTACCAACCGGAAAGAAATAGTACACAATTCCGGGGCTTTCAATTTCACAAAATTGTAACACAAGGATTATAAGCAAACTTCTGTGCATTTTCATTTTTTAACTGACCACAGGTTATTGCAAAGGAAAAAAATTTCAGAAAGGCATTAGTACTGTATATAGCCATCATTATTTTTCATACAAATGGAACCTTTGCGATACGGGTGTTTACGTTAGGCGATTAGACGAATTGAAATAATAGGAAAAGCATTCCTTACGCGTCGATAGGAGAAAATGATAAACAGATTCTACGGACTACAGAACTCAAACTCAGAACTGAACAACGTAATATGGTATCACCAGAGGAAAGAAGANAAAGAAGACAAATGTTGCCATTTCGTTTCAACTACCAACGTAAAACAAGCTTATATATATATATATATATATATATATATATATAGCGTATTGAGTGGATCCATTGTGGTCAAAGAATGAGGGCATGCAAACATAAACTACTACAAAATTAAAGAGAAGAGATCAACTCCATGGCAGGCGGATTGATCGCGTCAACAAATTTCGGGCGACATAATCGAATAAGCAACGATTCATTAATCGCTATGTTGTTGTTCAAAATTATTTCTTATATTGGAATTGCAAAATGTTTGGTAGCTTCGGTGGGTTTCGAACCCATGCCTGGACGCTGCCTACTTAGTTGGACAGCGCATTCTCTACCACCTGAGCTACGAGGCTACACCGATAGCAATGATATGTTCATCTTTGGATTACCTACCTAACTTATGCAATTCATAACCTAGTGTGTAAGCTGACTGACACGACAGGTGTTCCCTAGAGTGCTCCGAATGAACTTTCAAGGTAGGGCATCTTTCGCCAACCACTTTATAATATGTTCGGCCATGTGTTGTGATAGCGGCGGTTTGTTATGCCTGTATGCTCGCATCAGCGCAACTGCACGTGAACCAGCAGTACGTGAGAAAGGACTGGTTTACTAACCATATTTACGATTAACCAGATGAATTCCGTGGGTCTGAGTTGAGTAGCTGGGAATGTACGGTCTGGAGCCCCCTTCAACTTTTGTCGCACATTATTTAACATATGATCACCTTTTGAGCTAACCTGGTGTAGACGATCATTTTGTTAACGCTTTTTACCATGGATGTCTATGAACCGTTCTGGGAAACCGTTGAATAATATTGTTCTTACTTGTTGTAGTAAATCTGCAGGACCAGTGAAGTTCGCTGCACAATCATGCATTGGTAAACTATGTTTTTCGGTAAACCAAGCGGGGTAGTGAGCCATTTATTCACCTCATAATTTTTATATGTAGGAAAGCTATATACTCNATACAAGATGTTGATGAACCGAGTTTAGAATTTATAGAAGGGATTCAAAATGTTCATCCTTTGTAAGAATAAGAATACCATTTACAGCACACAGTGTGCATATCAAGCCTATGACGTATAAATAACATCAACTCCACTCATCAAATGGAGTTTCCTAGATATCAACTGGAACTTACCCGCTCTAGTCCTCTGTGAAATCCGAGAAATGTGCAAAACGTGCCGTATTTGTCCCACAAAACGGGCCACTTGGTCAATCGGGCAACTTGTTT